AACCATTTTATTACACTTATACAATACCATACCATACGTTTTGCAAGAGTTATACCATACTGAATGTCCCTATACTCGAGAAATTACAATGGGAAGCCATTTATGAGCATTACTTTTTCTCTGGTCATTCGGGTAGATAAAAGTATCTATACTATTTTTTATTATCATCAATGGTCATTATCAATCTCAATCTTTTAGCCTGAATTGTTTTGATTGTTTTCTTCCTAGGATTGGTTTTTCTTAGCAAATAGCAACTTCTTCGTAACTTATGGGTTTCAACTATCATTTTGTTAAATAAAAGCTCGAATTTAGCCCAGCCTTTTTATTAAACGAGTGTTTAAAATCCTTCTATAGACTTTCACCACTTTCTGAATAGCGGGAGAAAGATTTATTATTGTATTTTAGTAGAACCTTGATTGAATGTATAATATCAATGAAATTTTCGCTTCAAATAGTTTATTAGGTTATTTTATTTCCGTTATATGAAAAGGAAATATCTAGTTTATTCAAGAAAAGCTTTTCTCTATTTTTCTTTTTGAAATATAGGCTAACTACATAAACCAAATTCCTAGCACTGTCTGAATTAAGGTTTATCCTTATACTCATCTCGGTAGATGTTCTCTCATTACTGCCATTCTTATTGTTATTGCGAGCTAAACACAGAAGAACGACAGTTTACATCTTCATCGATTGCTCCCCGTGCGTATTCCTCTGCGGTAGCGAACTTGAAACGTCTCAATATTTCGTTAATTCTTTCACATTTTCCGTACGAAGTCAAGAATATTCCTATGATTTTCGAAAACGGTAAAAGTGCTACGAGAAATCCTGACTTGTATTGAATTTTTCCATTTTCTAGTTTTTTTTTTTTTGGTTACATTTAACGGGAATAATTGAACTCATTTTGCTGGGAAGGAAGCAAAAAAAAAAAAAAGTTATTTGTGAAAAGTTGATTAATGAAGGAATGGGTAATTATATACGGAAAAAAACTTTCTACTTTTCGTACAAATATTCAATGTTGACAGTTTCGTAGAAATCCGCTCTATAAGTACTATTACTATTACTATTGAAAGTGCTCGTACAAATTATTTTTTTTGTGCAGCATCCAATATTTTTGTGACACGTAATTTTTGAACCCATATTATTATAATGTTCACAATCTGCTTTATATATTCTTATTTTTAAAATGCCGCCAGCAATTGAAAGAACTATTTATACTGAAGAAGAACTCTTATCGAACGATGAGATACTGAATGAACCACCACCTCCTGTAACGATTATAAATTATTTATTTGATAGTAAATGTTAATTTATTCGATTTTCAGGTTAATTTATTTCTTATAAAACTAATGAACGTTTCAAATTTCTTTTTAATTTTTTTGTTTAATAAATAATAAATATAGTATTCAGAATACCCGCTTGTAACTAACAGTGTAGTTCAAAATAGACATCAAGCTGTTAATTCTTCAAATAATTATGGCCAGCAAATTGTCTCGCACAATTCACGATCACAACCACCTAATCACAATGACCTTTCAAGATCCTCCTTATCAACCACATCCTTTCTTTCTACAATGAGAATTACTCCTCAACTTTCGTCATATCACAATGCCAATATGCATGCACCTTTAGTTTATTCACCACCTCAGCCAAAAAAGGGTTTAGAATAAAATTTTGTGTGACTTGATATGGAAAAATATGGGCTATACCATACCATACCATACGTTCTGCAAGAGTTATACCATACTGAATCTCTCCCTACCGTAATTTCTCTGTACATTTTCCATTGTACTGGTTGAATAAAACATGGCTTATCTTTCTATACCTTTCCTTGTATGTGAATGAATACCTTTATTTCCATTCTGTATGGAGTAAACTATGATTTGACAGAAATCGTTTCATAATCTTTTCGGATAAATTAATTTGTTTCTTCTTATATTTCTAGTTTACAGTTGAGTTTATCCTCAGAGATAGTTTGGATGCAGATGAAGGTTAGGCGTCAATTGGTCTTTATAAAAAAGAACCCGCAAGTCATCATCTTTTTTGGTCAGAGTAATTGTTCTTTAACAATTAATTAAAATTTACTATTCGATTAGCTAGACAAAATATTTGATCACATCACGTTTATACTAATTAGTAAAAAATCTACATAACAATATATTCGAAATTTCGCGTTGCTAGCTTTCATACATATATACGTGTATATATATATATAGCTATAAAGAAATACCTTTATAATAAAACTCCACATGTATTGACGTATTAGAGATGCCACATGTTTAAACAACAATCTATGCTTGATTTTACATCTAATGGTAGTGTCTCATCTGTGATTGTATTGGGAAAAAGTTGTTTTTTAATAAAGTGAAGTTACTATTTAAAATTCCTTTGCTTCTAGTAAAAATTTGTGAAAATTATTTCATTAGAGATGCCACAAGTAGAAACTATACATTTTTTTTAATCTCACATATAATTATGAAGTTTATTTGAAAATTATTATGTAAACAATTTTTTTGTCAATTGAAAACGTGATTTTACATATACAATCTACTTTAAAATTATATAGTCGCACAACATAATTTCAAGATCGTCACAAAGTGATAAACGTGATAAATCGAACTTCCATCATGCTACTTTTGAATCCACAGAATTACAAAAAAGATTAGCAAAATTTATTTTAGATCATTCAGCAGTTATTAGAGAATTTATTACTGATGATGTAGGTTTATTGTTGGTACGTAATTATTATAGATTTGATGATTACTTTCGGAATCTTAATGAATTAGATTGTTATAGTTGTGCTATGTTTGGAACTATTAATAAACTAGCAAAAATTTGCAAACGTATTCACTCATTAAGAATACATTGTGGTCATGCATAATGATGACCTTGAAAATGGTCTGACTCAATTAATTAAAGCACAAAATCAAATAGAGCAATTAACTATTGATTCATACACTAATCAAATTTTATCAGATGATTTCAAAAAAGCAATACTCTCACATTCACAATCAATAATTTATTATTCAAGTAATGGAAAAAATAACATTGATCATATATTATTGCCAGCACTTAAAAATTTAAAGACTTTATTATTGATATCAACTCCTTATGTTACCTATAATAAAATCAAGTGGTTGGAAAATGTTTCACTGCCAAATATTGAATCTGTAAGTTTATACACTTCTCATCATTCATTTCTATCAGACTTGATCGGTTTTATTAACATCAATGGAAAAACTCTTAAAAAGCTGGATCTTGGTGATACTTTAAACAATGATATATTTTTGAGAAAGCTATTTCGATCAATTGCACAATGTTGTAAAAATCTAGTAGATTTATCAATATTTTATGAGAATGGAATGGACCAGGAGTTAATGGAAGTATTTAACAATTGTATTAAATTGGAAAGTATTGAACTTAAAGAATTTCATATTATTTCTGTGTACAAAATAGACAGTGACAGAATTTTGACAGTTTTAAATCAAACATTGCCAAAGAAATTAAAGTCAATAATTATTAATTGTCAGATGTCTAATATTAATGTCAATTCTTTTGATAATCTAATGAAAAATTGGAGAGGACCCACACCTATTACAATAAAATCATATGAATTATCAAAAATTAGTGGTCCTCTGAAGTTGATTAAAAAATATCAAGAATTAAAATCTCTTACTAAAATTATATAAAAATTTTAATCATATTCATTATTACTATTTAATTGGTTGGAAATAAAATAAATTTTGACTTTGCTTTTTAACTGAAATATTTAAATACAATGGGAATGATGATGTTCTTGTCAATAGACAATGGCACAATGTTAATATTCCAACTTTATGGAGAAACCTGTGCTATTCTCTTAATAGCATTAGAATAATAATAAATTAGAAGATAAGGATTTCTTAATGAGGAATGAACTTTTCAGCTGTTGGATAAACATTACATACTTGTGTAGATTTTGTACAAGACTTTATTTTAACAATAGTTATACTTGAGATTAAAAAATAGGTTAGTAAAATTTATTTTAGATCATTCAGCAGTTATTAGAGAATTTAGTGCTATTAATATAGATAGTTATTATAGTTATTTGGTAAATAATTAGATAATAGTTTTCAGTATCTTAATAAATTAGATTTCAATAATTGTGATAGTTAGTTTTGAATTTATTCAAAAATTTGCAAACATATTCAATCATTAAGAATACATTATGGTGATAATGTATATTATAATAACAGTAAAGCCTGATTCAGCTAATTAAGCACAAACCCCAATAAAGCAATCAACTATTAATTCAAATGCCAATCAAGTTTATCATCATATGATTTCAAAAAAGCAATACTCACACATCCACAACCAATAATTAATTATTCAGGTGATGAGAATGAAGATATGACTCTCCATATAGATTTTTGGCAACCCATAAATTAAAGTTGGTGTCTGTAACCATTTTCACATTTTTTTGTGACAGCAAATTTTAAGGCTTGAATTGCAACACTTTTCTGCGACTGTCTGCAACTGTCTGTGAGGATAAATGTTATTACAAAATTTTGGTTAGCCAAGCTTTGCCATAAGATAAAAGATGTCCAAGTATTTGTCCATTTCTCTCAACTTCATTACTTTGTAATTGTCTTCTCCACATGGTACAGCAGTTGTTAAGAGATAATGTTGAGTTTCATGTTTTGATTTAGTGTATTGGTCTAATGCTTCTCTAAGATCTTTTGAGTAAATTTACATAGTTATTGGCATCTTCCTCATTCTTTGGATATTCCCAATCAACTGTAATAATGATGATGATGATAAATAATAGCAATATTGTAAGTAGAACAATAAGGCATTAAAAAATATAATAATAGGAAAAAAAAAGGTAATTACTATCTAATCCATCTAAACCCAAATCATTCATTAATTTGACCACAGAATCAACCAAATTTTCTCTAGATTTATTAGAAGAAGTAGCAGCCGAGAAATTAGTGGACTAAGACAAGCCACCAATTGACAAACTAACTTTAAGATGTCTATTCTTCTTCTTCAACAAGTACAATTGTTTGAAATTTCCATACAAATTCTTTGCATTATCATCCTGTGAATCACCCTCAAAACGAATATCTGTGCCAGACCACGGGTCACCCAAAAATACTTCACCATCATTTTTAAGATTTGCAAATGCATACAATATATGAGTAAGTTTATCATAGTCTATGTCTTGTACAAAATATTTTCGATCATATATTGACCAAGCAAGCAAATAAGCAGCTACAGTGTGGATCATCTATACTCAAAAGTTAAAATTTTTGAAATATTATGTGATCCACACATTGGATTTTAAAAAACTTACCACCATTCAATTCAGCTTTAAAAGGGGAGTCTATTAATCTAAAAAAAAAATTTGTCTCAAATTTTCTTTTCATAGGTTTTTTAAATTTGAAAGTTATGCTCAGAAGTGCAACAATAATTTTCGTGTTACAATATTTTGAATCTCACGACCAAATTTGGTAATGATTTTCTTTTAATGTAATATGTTCGTTAAACTTTTTTGTTGTAAAGAACTTTTATTTATTAATAAAAAAAGGAAATAAATAAATCAAATAAATCAAATGTATGTTGTAGAAAATATTCTATGAAAAAAAAATTGTTACACGAAATTTACTTAGTCTCAATTTCTTAAATGTATAACAAAATTCGGAATTTTCAAAATGCTAAGGCTCAGCCAATTTTCAGTTTAAGAAAAAACCAGCCGATAAGTTTTGAAGCTCGAGTCATGAACAATAAAACTTATCGGTTAAATTTTTTAAAATGATATAATTTTTTTTTGTTTTAGTATTTTGTAGTTGACCAATTGTTACTATAAGCAATTAATGATTATAGATGATCTGCACCGTAGTATCGTTGCCAATTCTTTCTAAATATTACCAAAATATTGCCAATCTTTTCTAAATTGTTACAAAATATGTTGCACTGATTTGGTTGAGTTGTATTCTTTCGTTAATTAAATAGTAAAATTTACAATCATTTACTTGTGACACATGACCCCTAAGGGAATAAAATAGCATATAACCAAAACATAAAGTTTGTGTTTAATCTTTTTAATTTTTACATCATAAATAAAAAATAGCAAGATTTTAATATTAGTTAAATATTTGATGTTGTTTAAATAGTTGAACTGCACTGACTGTAGCACTCAATCAATGGCTGAAAAGGGCATATTTTAAAGCATTCTGGCAACATTTAGGCATTTATTTCAATAGCATTTAGAAATCTTGACTTTCAACATCAATTTGGGCTTTTGGCAAAGCCCAGAACGTTTCGACTAATAACTATATGTTCCCAGGCATTTTTCAAAATGGAAAAGGCCATTATGAACACCTTAAAAAATTGTTGAATTTTCAACCCTCAATAGACAGTTATGGAAAGTACATCAAGCTAAGGATGTTGTGTCCTGATCCTTGATTTCGCCTCCATTGGTATTGGGGGCATTTGTCCTATTTGACTCTTGAAAAAAACGAAACTTTCAAAATCAACATCGAATATTGTCTACGAGAAACGTCAACCATAAACATCATCCAACCCTAACTGATTTAATCAGCCAAAGTTCATACAGCAACTGGAATATCCTAAATGAAGAGAAAACCACAACATTACCTCCGAAACTAAGAACAGCTGCCCTCTTTTTCAAAAAGAAGCAACTTCAAGTCAACACAATGATTGGTGCTTATGAGTTACCACAGATATTCTACACATTAACAATGTCTGAAGGCAAGTGGACACACTTGCATGAAATCTTGAGATCCACTGACAATGGTGATACCTTACTAAGCAACTGGCCATTGCACATCTACTTGCATTATCGGAATAAGCTAACAAATCTGAGGAACAGATTATGGAAAACCCCTAAATTGATGTCCTGGGGAAAGTGGTAACATTACTTTGAAAGGGACGAATTTCAAAAAATCGTGGGACCATACATGTGCATAGCTTTGCCTACACAGAAGTAAAAGTAGATGAATTGTTCTCCTTTAACACAATATGTGCTGATGTCCCCAATCCTGTTACAGGAATGTTCACCTAATTCGTTACGTTATGTTTATCACCACACAAAGGAAGAAAACAGGATGATCGTCTCCTATCATCCAGAGACATTAATCATTTGGAATGGTCACATCAATTTCCAGTTGCTCCAATATCCGATAACAAGATGTTCTGTCTCGTACATTATCTCCCTTCTACTTCTTCAGAGTAACCGTCTGAGATCTGTAAAACCAATGCATCAGCTGAACAAAAGTGATGATGATGTCAGTCATGATGATGGCAATGATGGGTAGTGATGGTGATGATGATGACAATGGTGACAACAGTGACAATGATGAACAAGGTGAAAAACTCCATATTGGAATGATGCCATTGATAAGTATTTCGACGGGCCAGAAATTGAACCTTTCAAAATTTCATTTACCCTGAATATTTTCAAATCACACGATCAGATCAAAAGTCCCTGGCCCAAGATCCAAGCTGTTTTACGCCAGGGGCAAAAAAAAATAGAATCATTACCCAACGAAGGTCACCTGTGAAACTCAAAGAAACTCAAAAAGAAGAGCGATATTTAATTAATTTATATGGATGGAAAAAAAATAATAATAGTTTTTATTATTTTATACATCTGGATGTTTTGTGCTGTGTCTGGTTCTTTGTATTTTACCATTTACAAAGTGGAAGATGGAGAGCCATTATTTTTCCAACACCTGATAATGAAAATTCCCGCATGGTCAGAAGAGGATTTGATAGGAAGTATTAGAAACAGTCCTACCTAAAACTAAAAATCAGAATCTGTCTGAGATCATTTTCACCCAAGTGCCTTTACTTCTTCCTGACTGGTAATGCTGGAACTTGAAAGACCTTTATGACAAGACAGATGATAAATTTTCTTGACACAAAGAATAAAAAAGACCTGTTACTTTTACCTACAGGGTTGCCATACAGAATGTTGGTAGCAAACCATACACTCATCCTTAAAAATAAGGTTCATCAACCAAAGATATGAGACATTGGTTCTTTCTAACCTAACAGATAAATGGGATTGAAGTAATCATAATTGATGAAATATCAATAGTGGGCAGTGACCTTTTCACCTTTATGGTGATATGTTTGCTAGAACCAACGGTAACAACTTCATCTTTGGAAGGATACAAACACTTGTTGTTGAGTATTTGTATCAACTTCCATCGGTTCGTCCCTTGCATGTTTTTAAGTCACCAGCCTGGAAAAGATTCTTCCCTCGTCACAAAAGCGGGTGGATGATCTAGAATTTTACAGAGTTCTTCAAAAAATAAGAACAAGGGCTTTGTCAGTTAGAAGCAAACAGATCATTCAGTCAAAAATTAACCAAGAAGAGGATCTTTGCAATTTCTACAATATCATTCATGTTGTTGGCACTTGAATAGCAGATAAAGACCTCGACACGATCTTTTTCAACCATCTACCTTTTGATGGGACCCAATAGTTTCTGAATGCACAGACATGTTAGATTTTGAAATATCGGACAAATCAATCAATTTAAGTATCTGACAAATCTCTCTTCCGAATTACATCTACAAGAAGACACACGTGTGATGTTTCTTACTCGATGACAACGTATGCAATGGAACCATTGGAATGATCATAAAATTTGTGCAATGAGAATGTTGAAGTGACCTTTAGGGTTGATCCGCGCATGTAACGTTGAATGTTGATGAGAACGTACCCTCATTAAAAAACTTGCATACTCTCGGTTTTGACTACGCTCAATTAAAGGTTTCTAAAGTAGCATTAGAAGAATATAAAAGATTGGAAAAGGTTAACGCTGAAGGGTTGCGAAATGTGATAAAGCGGTAAATAGATCTGTCATTCATTATCATGTTGTGAAACACATCAATCTTTTCTAATGTAATTTTTTACGACTAAAAAAAAAATAAACTATTTAATGATTGCTGCTCCTGCGAAGTAAAACAATGCCCATTATTATTCACTCCGCAATGTTCGGGTGTAACGTCATACATAGTAAATTTGCAAAATTTTGGAACATTTTGTTTGCACTACAACATAAAATTTTTACCAACTTTGATATGTCAACTTTTCGTATTACAGGAATTTGTGGGTCATTGAGAAAAGAAAGCGTCAATAAAAAATTGCTGTTACGTGCTCAACAATTATGTTTACAACATTTACCTGAAGCTACAATTGATATTGTTGATTGGAGTCAAATACCTGTTTATAATGGTGTATGTTCTAATATAATAAATAATTATTAGTGTTAGATTATTTATTGATTGATGAAGAAAATGGTCAACGTTTTAATTTTCAGGATTTAGAAGCAAATCCTCCAGAATCTGTATTGAAATTTAAAGATGAAATTGCAGATCGAGATGCTGTATTATTTGCCACTCCAGGTAAAGTTATCAATTAAAGAATTAATTAAAACAATCGTAATTATTAATCAAATCTTTTCATATAGAGTATAATTGGAGTATTCCAGGTAAATAAATGAATAAATAAAATTTTTAGAGAATTTTTTTCCAATACGCCTCATCTATTTATCTATCTATTTATCCGTTTATCTAGGACCATTAAAAAATGCAATCGATTGGGCAAGTAGACCAAACATTGGTAATCGTGGTGCGGTATTTTCTGGGAAAGCTGTCGCAATAATGGGAGCAGCACCTGGAGATGGGCCTGGAGCTTCTGGTACTGGTCGTGCTCAACTTATATTGCGTCAATCTTTTGTTTTTTTTGATATGGTGCCAGTTAATCTGTAAGAAAACAATGAATTTTTTTGCATTATTGTTTGAATATTTGATTAATGTATATTTATGATACTTATCATATTTTATGCAAATAATGATGACGATGAATAGACCAACTGTAATGGTTACTGGAGCTTATAAAGCATTCAAAGAGGATGGTAGTTTGATTAACGAACGTATTGAACAAAATATTGTCAAAGTGTTGAAAAATCTTGTAAAATTGGGTAAAAGTTTAAAAAATGCAGAATAAAATGGCGAGCATCACGTCACAAATTTATCGGGTTAAAATTTTACCCAGAACATATAAATAATAATAATAATAACATATATATAAACTTACAAAACAAGATGACTGTTCGCGATATCTTTACGCTCTTCCTTTCAATAACAAACAGAATGTTATCCTTTTGGTCTTCATGAATAATAATTGCCGGTTCAATCAATATTGAAAAGTTATGCAACTAGTAATTGTTATTATCATCTCTCATGTCAAAGATAAATAAATGTTTTAGTAACTAGTCAAATTTTTCATACCATTTCCATATACAATCAAACCTCATTATAACGGACCTTGTTATAACGGATTTTTGTTATACATTAATATACCAAACAAAATCCTATCCCTAGTAAAAAAAAATCCATATTGTGTTCTTCTTTGAAGTGAATCATTAGTTTAAAAATGTCAAAATTGTTTTTATTGATATTGAAATAATCTTATCACTTACGCCAGTTGATGAAGGAATTAAAGAAAATGTCATATTCCAATTAAAGATGCTGTTACTGCTTTTGAAACTGTTCATAAATTTTTTGAACAAGATAACAATGGTTTAGAATTAGATTATAATGAACTCAAAGTGTTTCGTGATTAAAGAAAAAAATTAATTTGTATAATTCTAAAAGTTTAAACCAAGGAAAATTAATTTAAACAACAATCACATTTATCAGTTACAATTTTTATTGTTAAAAGTATCATGTGATGATCTCAGTTACCGAATACCTCGTTGTAATAATAACGGATCATTGGGGCCAAACCGAGTTCGACTGTATATATAATAACAACAATAACTCAACACGTGCGGATCATCTATATTCAAAAGTTAAATTTTTGAAATATTATATGAGTATAGGGACATTCAGTATGGTATAACTCTTGCAAAACGTATGGTATGGTATTGTATAAAATGGTTGTATACCAATGCTTAAATCTAACATACTTCCCTTCACACACACCAAAAAAGGATTTAGAATAAAATTTTGTGTGACTTGGTATGGAAAAATATGGGCTATACCATACCATACCATACGTTCTGCAAGAGTTATACCATACTGAATCTCTCCCTACCGTAATTTCTCTGTACATTTTCCATTGTACTGGTTGAATAAAACATGGCTTATCTTTCTATACCTTTCCTTGTATGTGAATGAATACCTTTATTTCCATTCTGTATGGAGTAAACTATGATTTGACAGAAATCGTTTCATAATCTTTTCGGATAAATTAATTTGTTTCTTCTTATATTTCTAGTTTACAGTTGAGTTTATCCTCAGAGATAGTTTGGATGCAGATGAAGGTTAGGCGTCAATTGGTCTTTATAAAAAAGAACCCGCAAGTCATCATCTTTTTTGGTCAGAGTAATTGTTCTTTAACAATTAATTAAAATTTACTATTCGATTAGCTAGACAAAATATTTGATCACATCACGTTTATACTAATTAGTAAAAAATCTACATAACAATATATTCGAAATTTCGCGTTGCTAGCTTTCATGTATCAAGATTAACAAAAAAAACTAAAATTCAATTTACATAATAAAAAATTGTAAATTTTATATAAACGAAGGCTATTGTTTTTGAAGAATAAATATATGAAATTTCATATCTAGAAAATTAGTGATTAAAAAATAGCAATAACATCGACAAGGAAGATACTGAATCATGAAAAATAAAACTTCTTTGAAATTATTTGATACATTAAAGCTGACATCATGAAATTTCGAATATATATTTACCAAAATCTAGGCTGTGATTTTTTACTAATTAGTGTAAACATGTGATCAAATACCTTTGTCTAGGAAGGGTGTGTAATATAATTTTGGGGTCCTGTTCACTGAATCATATATTTCTTAGAAGTAGGGATAGGATTAAAGCTCGCTTTTCATTATAATATTTATTTAATTATCGAAGAAAAGTTTTGAATATTGATGTCCTGCTGTCTCTGCAAAATTATATGCAGTGTTGTGTCATTTATGGTTCCAATAAAATTTCATTGGAGCATTCTAATAAATTTCAATTGGAATTGGAACATTCCAAATGTGATTCCAATGAAGTTAACCAATGAAATTCAATTACAGCGTCATACACATGAATTTTATTGGTTGATATCAATTGAAGATCTACATTGGAACATTCCAACAGCGTTACAATGTTCCAATTGCACAACAGCATAGTGGAATTTCGTAATTATCACGAATGTGACTTAAAATGTCGATCTTTTTTATATTGTGTAATGGTAATTTTAAAGTACTTTTCAATTGGACGTTTGACCTTAATGTGACGTAAAAACTTTTTATCAAAATTGTCAAACCAA